CGGCTGGTAATTGCACTGGCGGCTGAGGATCCTTTATTTTCCCTCCCTAGGTTAGAAATATACTATTGCACCCGCCGGGACGGAAAAGAATTATTCCACCGCGAGCAATGTAATTTTAGTTTCATTTTTCCATTTCTTCGCCGAAATTGCTTGTACTCATGATAACTTGAAAAATAGTCGAGATGAAAACTTGAAACTGTGTAGGATTTTAGGTCTCATGATAATAAAGTATGGAGTTTTGGATAAGGTGAAATCGGACCAGTCGCTTCGGAGATATTCAAAGGGTCTAGTGGAATAAGTACGGTGAAAATGCCCCCACCGAATTTTGAATCTCCAATTTTTCCTGTTATTTATCATGATAAAATATAGGTGCATGCAAATTTTTACATTGTTATTTGCATTCCTGTCTGTTTTATCTCCAAAAAACTTCATTTTCTAATTTCACGTTTTTAGCCGTCAAAAAGTGTACTAAAAATTTGAAAAAATTCTGAAAAATCAGAAACATATCACCATTTATGTGACATTTTTTAATTTATTTTTTTACAATAATTTCTATTGAAAAAAAAAGATTCACTTTTCAACAATTTATTTTAACATGATTCGATGAAGATACAGGTTTGAAAAAAATCATCACCATTTACTTCATGTTTTTCTATAGAATAATGCGAAGAAAACTTCTATTTTTGCCTGCACCATCTTGAAAAAAAATAAAATTGAAAAATTTTGGGGTTTTTTGAACTAGAAATCCGCTTATAAATCATTCATTGGGCCTCGTTAATTCTAACTCTCCTAATAGCTATTTTACATATTACCCCAGTACACGTATGAAAACATATAAAAATCTTCTTACGGATTGCGCATAGAATTTCTATAGGATTTTCTTTATACAAATTAGTTCAATACAATTTCTATAGGTTTGATCCTATACGACCCCTGCCACATGTATAGAAACATTTCGTATGGAGTTGCGACATTTCTCTACGTTTTTCTCTGGAACGTTTAGACATCTTTCATATGGAAACAACAATTTATATAAAAATGTATGTATAGAAATAATTCGTATAGAAAATATTCGTATAGAAATATCCGAATATTATATACGGAAATCCGATAGAATTTCGATACGCAATCCATATAGAAAATTTCTATGCGACTTTTTCATACGTGTATAATCAGTCAATATTTACCCACAAATTGGATTTTTTTTTAGATTGTTCGCATTATTTTATAATTTCACGGAGAATGAATCTTCATTGTCCAGTTATAAATCCCTTAGAAAATTATCGGTTTATATATATTAATTGATATTAACTCAAGACCCTTAACTCGAGACCCTTATTTTGACCTTTATGACCCTTGGTTTCTGACCCTTAATTTTCGAGTCTTAATTGCGAGTACCAAATTTTCATCACCAGAAGTCGATATGGATTTTTATAATATAGGGAGACTCCAAATCCCTTTATCAAGTTGGATGAAGCTATTGAAACTCCCAAAAAAAATTCTTTCCCTCGATTTTTACTAAAACACTTATAATAAGTCGGTGATTTTATTTTTTTTCGGAAAGGAAACAGGAAATGAATAGAATATATGAACAAATATTAATTGAATACACTAGCATAATTTGCAAAATAACTATTGGAATTATTATAATTTATAAGCGAAGCACAATGAATGATTTAGAATTGGATTTTTGCAATAAAAAAAATGAAAATTTGTCAATTTTAAATTTTTTTGTACAATGCAGGTTGAGAATGGTAGTTTCCTTCATATTATTCAATAGAAAAACAATTGAAATGAATTTTTGAAAAGCGATTCCTTTTTTTCTAAGCAGAAATTATTGTAAAAAATTAAATAGAAAAATGTCACATAAATGTTGATGTTTCTGATTTTTCAGAATTTTTTCAGATTTTCAGAACACTTTGTGACGGCGAAAAAACATGACATTAGAAAAAGATGGTTTTTTGCGATAGAACTGGCAGGAATGGAAATGAAATCAGAAAATTTGCATGCAGGTATATTTTATCATGATAAATAACAGAAAAAATTGGCGATTCAAAATTCTTTTGGAGGCATTTTTACTATACTTATTCCGCTAGACCCTTTGTATGTGAAACTCGTATTCAATATCTCAAAAATTTGTAGTCCGATTCTGTTTTTTATTTTTTACAAAATTTTCGTCTCGCTTCTTTGTTGTCCAATGGAAGTATTGCCCGTATGGAAATATTCATATCTGAAAACAAAGTCCATAATTTTTTTATTCATATTTCTTTCGTACTACCATTACGGTTTCATAGTCTCCCCGCTCGTCTGGCTTGCCTCTTCCACTTCTCTCTTCTGATTTTTTTATCTGCATTACCATAGCCCGTCTTACTCTTAACTGGACCCCATTCGGGCTAGAACTACACGGGAAATCATGGAAAACATCAGTCGTACAGCCAGCCAATTGTGCAGAGCCCTCATGTGCCTTTCTGTCACACTGACTAGGGGGGGGGCACATTAGGCGGGTGGGTTTCGTTAAGGTATGATACAGGGAGGTATGGCTTTGATGTCGCCGACACCGAAACAGGGGACAAGTTCCAATGGAAGCCGCGCACGGCGCTGTTGTGTCCCTTCCCCTCACGCGGATTAGATATCCCACCACACGCCGATTTTACTTGCGTCGCGAGTTCAAATCCCCGTCAAATCAATTTTTTTTTCATGAGAGAGAAATAGTATATTTCGTAACGAGTGCAAAAAAGTGGTTTTTGGCGAGTGGGAGGTATATATCACGAGCTGAAGGCGAGTGATATAATTCCACGAGCCAAAAACCACTTTTTTGACGAGTTACGAACAAAATTTTTCATCACAATGTATCGGAAAGGTGCTGGAAAGTTACTTTTCCGATACAGCGTGATGAAAATAAAATTTTGTGTTCAATCGAGAGGAACAGGATTAAAAAATCTTGAGATGAAAACTATATGATTCTCAGCAAATAGTTCCATGGGTCGAGCGATAATGATTGAGTGAGAGTCATGTCGACTAGACGATTGAAATACTAATTAGAAGGAAGAATAATTAACATCAGAAGTCCATTTAATTAATTATTTCTCTTCTCTTCAGTGAAGCTTAATAGGGAAGAATTTGGAGGGAAGGGATTACGATAACGAGGATCCCAGTTTGAACTATGTTTTTTAATGTTTTCTTCTATGAACAAATTTTGAAAACGATACGAGGGTCATAATGGTCACGAGGGGTGAAATAAATGAGGTACAAGGGGTTTCAAGAGCCACAAAAGAAAAAAAAAGTCCCAACTATTCACTTACGCACCTCACACAAATAACAATCGTTCTTTGACACTTGATCACTCGGTAGCAAATCACCGCTTTTTTCCAGCCATTGTCGTCGCTTCTCAATTTTTTTGACACTGGGAAGGGAGAAAAAACGATAATTATCCCTAGAAGATGCTTTGCAATTTATAATTGCACACGATTTAGTCATTTTGCATGAATCAGCTCGCACAGACTGTTCAGATCTATTGGAGTACGTTTTGGAGCAGGCATAAACAAACAACATTCGCGAGATATTTTCGCGCGAAAAATAAATATTGTTCAACATTGGACAAAAATGCATTTTCATTTTATTTTTAATGCTATTATATTGAGCAGTGATTTCACTCTCAATCTTGGTAATTATTTTCATTAAAAAAAGAAAGAATTCACCTATTATGAGATAAAAATCACCCCATTAATGAAAGAGTGAGCGGGCCATTGACTATTAAAGAAATAGTACATGAAAAACCATGAATATATTTGCATTTTTTTATTTTTCTTCGCATTGTACATGTAATTTCATACGGGGCTAATTATTTTGACTTAAAATATAAATTTCATAACGTTCGCTCCAGCAAAAAAGTGCCAGTGGTGGGAGACTAAAGGAGATGAGGGGAAGCGTAAGTCGACCGGAACGCCGCTTCTGGCGCTCCGGCGAACTTGTCCCCTGTTTTCTGGCTTCATCATACCTGCTTGTATCATACCTTAGGTTTCGTCAAAGATTATAGGGGCGACCCCCAGGTACTTAGCCGGAATAGGTCACTAATTAGAAAAACGACCTTATGTACTCGATTGTACATCGTTAGTACATGATTGTACTAGGAAAAATTTTGTTTGTACATTCACTCATTAATTAATATTAATTTTTTAATTTTTGCCATGCCGCTGGCCGGAAGGAAATAAAAAATTGCTTGATAGGGGTTGATTAGGGGTGAATTCGATAGGAAATCGTTTATACATCATGAATTTCACTTTGTTTCGTTTGTACATTCATTATTACTCAATTAATTGCAAATAAACAATTTTGATTGATTCCCCCACCTCCGACCAGCTGCTCTCAATGGTTCCTGTGTTATCGGCAATACCGTTCAGTATCATGTATATGTATATATATCGATATATATATTACATTTCGTAATTTTACATCTTGAGAAGGATAAAATTGAATGGCATAACATTTGATAAACGGTGGATAGTGTTGATTACTCATTTGCAACATTTATGTTTGTCACCAGAAATCACATTGGGATATGTAAAGGCATCGAGGATTCTAACCTCTCAAAGAATGTTATGATGAGTTTAATGTTGAATAACGTGGAGATAATCTTCAAATGACAATATTTACGATTATTTGAAAATTTGTGATAAGGCTGTGTATGATTAATCGACGTGAGTGATCATCAGATAATAAGTTTTAAAAGGATTTACTACAAAAGTGTCGACGAGAGTGCGGGTTTTTTTTGACAAGTTCTGTCAAATGGCACTGAAGGAGAGCAATCAGGGTCAGCAGAATATGAATATCGGTGATGACCTCCTGGGGGACAAGGATCGGCCGATATTCAGCCAGAGGCTGACGAATTGGACGGTGAAGAATGGGGAGAGCCTGAATCACAGTTATCGATGACCTATTGATTATTCTACGAGACGAGGGGGATTTAGACCTTCCTGGGACCGCTGGAGCCCTACTTGGACATGGGCCGGGGTCTTCAGGGCCCCTTCAAGTGCACAAAGTTCCATATGATTCTCTAAATGAGGGGGAATTGGAGAGGATCGAAATTTGGATCAAGAAAGAGGGGTCCAGGGAGTCCATGTGGGCTAACGAGGATAATAATTCTTCAGAGCCACTTCAAAGGAAATTCCAATGGGAGCTCGAGTCTGTCAGAGGCTCATGGCCACTTGTGACGAGTCTTATGGATAACAAAGAGGTTCTGGGGGTCAAACTGCCGCTTTTGTACGTGGATACTTTCAGGAATTTTGATGAATCCATAGCGGATAATCCGGAACAATAAATTACGATGGTAAGGCGTTTTGAGGATTTTTTAAAGGTGATTTGGGGGTTGAGGGAAGAGGGTGTTTTTCAGGCATTGGCAAATAAGCGGTTATTGGGGTAAGGGGTGACTTTGAGGGAAAATGTCAAAAGACGTTTTTTGGGGGGCACTTTGTGAGCTAAAAAAAAGATCTTCTGTTTTTTTTTCGTACATCTCGTGATTTTGGAGATATTTGCATCATTAGGAGAAGGGGAAAATGGAAAATAGGAAGATGAGATGAGTTGTCATGATTTGGGGAGGGGGCGGAGAGATATTTGGGAAATATCTCTGTAACTAGTGGATTTTCGGGGATAATGTTAAAAAACCTTTTTTGGAGGCCGTGAAATTCTCTACAAAAAAGGTTTATTGATATTTTTTGCTCAACCCCTTTGTGCTCAAGATATTCGCGAAATAGTAGGAATCAAATAAAATGAGTCATGTTAATTTGAAGATGAGTTTGTGATGACCTTTTGTGTGAAGCATGAGAGCTAGACTAGGCCAGCAAATAACTATTTAATGTAAATGAGATTAATTTTCTTTTCCCATTTGATCTTTCAATTGTCCTAATTATGTGTCTTGTTTTCACACAAATGATTGATGTTTTTTGTTTAGGTTTTGGAGCTGCATCACTGAGTAACAGCATTGGCAGTATATTATCAGGATTATGGAGAAAAGACGGATAAATTCAGTACATCGCTCGTGGAATAAAAGATCAGAGGAGTCAAGAGACAAAACTTTGGGGACATAAATAATACCTTCAGATATGCCAAAGGTAAAAATCATCATTATTGAACCTATTCAAAATTTCTTTTCTCATAATTGCATTACAGGGAAATCTGAAAGGAAGCTGGGAGACCGTAAGGCAAACAAAAAGGAAGAGGACACCTAGTTCTAAAGTGTTAGAGTGCTTTTTTCCGACTCATAATTTATAAATAAATTAAAAACAGAAAGAATCTACGAAGTCCATAGGAAAAATGATGATGTAAATGAACGTTGCATATATAGGATCATTTTTTTGGATCATAAATAATTCAGTTACATACAAATACACAAAAAGGAGTTTTTTCTCTCATGACAATGAGTTAAAAGTTTTCATTCCACCCAATTAAATTAATATTTCAGGCAATTGTGATTCCACCTTAGGAACGAGAGACTTGGGGAGAAAGTCAGAATTTTCCAAACTAAAGTCAACACAATTCAGCATCATTCATTTTGGATTATTTTGTTATTAAAATTCATCAATAATTTATAACATGAGTTCCATTGAAATCAGACTGGGAATCCCTATCGGTAATTTGTGATTGTAAATTCACTTCTACAAGTGGAATTTTTAGTTACACAAACTTGGCTTTCACTTTTTGTACATCTAAAAGTATGTTTAATCAACCAATATTCAATCGCATTATGTTCGGAAATAGATATGTATAGAAATTATGGTACAGAACGGTATATGAGTGAATTTTAATTTTTCATCTGCACTCAATCAACTATGAATCAATGGATTACCAACGAAAAATAGAATTCACTATTTACGAACATTTTTAGTTGTAATGAACGGCTCATTAGCTCTCATTAAAGACATCTCCATTGACTTTACCTATGATCACACCTGAAAAAGTACGCCTGTGAATGGTGATGGAGTGGGGGTTAAGCAAAGTGTGGCTCAAGGGGGGGAGGGTTATAGACGCCATGTTCATTTCGGAGCACAGTCGAGCAGGCATGCTCTATTGCATTTTTGGAGTAATAACCATCCCAGATTCATTAATTTTATAATATTGTGACAAAATGAGTTAATTTGTTCCTTTTTAACTCTTGTTTCACTCCGACCTCGGTTAGTCTCGGTGAGCTCACGAGTGGTTCGCTCAATCGGAGGGATAAGTGAAGGATAGAGGGAGGGTTAACGATATTAAACCGACCGTACTGATGTTGGTAAAATAACTATATATTAACTTTACTTTATACACGGTAGTGTTTAATGGGTCGGTATAATACGGTTCTTGACTTGACGTTGGGACCTTGACTCGACTTTGTTATTGGTTGGCTGAAGGCCTGAGCTCAGAGATCCACTCTGTTTCGCTCCTGATCGTATTCTGCCCTTGCAGAGTCTTTGTGAAAATGCTCAAGACTTAAAATTGCAGAGCAAGCAGTCTCACGGTCCCGAAACACTAAGACAATTAAGTGTCATCATTGACACACAACTAGAACAGTCAAACAGCTTCTTTACCGAGAAACTGGACTCAGATGGCACCGTGAGAGTGCTGAGCTCTGCTCCTGCACGATGAGAAAGAAATCATATTTCTTTTCTCATCGTCCCACATTATAAATTTAATGTAACGTATTATTCATAATACGTCACATTGTATTCAACAAATAACCGACGTATTAATAACAATACGTCACAATATTCATCATAAAATCATATTTCATTTTTTGAAGAATTTGTATTCTTCGTGCGAAAATGTCACGAGTTTTTGAAGAGTATGCTGTCACATGGGAAGAATCTAGTTGCTTCCCGTTTTCTCGATATTACACGTGTTTGTTAACTTCTTCCTATTTTCTTGACAGTTTCTTCGATAGCTCTCTCGCAGGTAAGGATACTGAAGTTCCCTAGACGATGTTTATATACATATATCTTCATAAATCAGAACACTTGTATTGCAGTTGAAGAAAACATGGTCGGTGATTCTCAAACGAATTTTGGGACTGAAAGTCAAGTGAGCTTTTTGAGAAATGTTTTAACCACTCCTCGAGAGTGGAATCATGAATTGCGAATGGGCAATCGACCATTAGAATAATTATTCCCCAGTTGATCAGAATAAATGTTGAACTAAATTTTACAGGCCGGAGTATACGTCAAAGAAAATTCTACCACCGGAGGGAATTGCAAGGACCATGGGCCATAATCGTAACTGTTGTACCAATATAGGCGAAGTCAAAGCTCTCATGATGAACTGAGAAAAAAGACAAAAATCAGTTCAAATTTTGAAGGTGAGTTTTATCGAGAGCTTTTCCTGAAATAATCTGGTTCTATTTGATTTGAAGGGTCTCAAATGTTCACATTGCAGGTCAGCTTGATAATTTATGGTTGTAAGCAGTATCTATTGCTGTTTATAGTGATGATGGGTGTAAATCCATGCAACTTGAATAACTGTAACTGAAATTATCTAGTTGCATTTCTGCTTATTATCAATATTCCAGTATAATGAGATCTTGTATTAGCATGGGAATTTCATGTGGCATTTAAATATTCAATAAATGTTTTTCCCTCTCAATCTGAAGAATTCAATAGCACTACTCATTACATTGCCTCACATTTTCTAGTCCTATACATAAATATTAAAACCGTCCCTTCATTTGTGTCATTGGATATAATATCATTGGACGACAATTCATAATTACTCAAGCATTGTTTGCCAGTTTTAATAAATAATTGAATATAAGAGTGGATTGTAGTGTTATAACTTCATATTTCATAACTTAGCTAACATTTAAAGAAGAATCGACGACGATTTTCATTCGCATGGGGTGTGTAATTTG